TATATAAAATTTTTAAAGGACTTTCTTATAAACATTTTCCAGGAAATAAATCAGCTTGTACTTTTCACCTCTAGTTACAAATGGTTTCTTACCCAGGTATTTTCAATCAGCTATTAAATCCGGGGCTGCTCAGATGCAAGCTGACAGCTGTAATTTCTTTTTGTAGAGAGGCTGTTTTATGTGTCACAAGTGTTCAATACATGTTTGATAGAAGTTTATAATGTGGCTATGAAAGCCAACACCCCAGACCGGGAGGCAGAGTGGTTGCCTGGCTGGGAACTGCCAATACTGTCATGTAGGATATTTATCTTTTCCAGCACGAAACAGCTCCATAATGAGGTTCTGACTGGTGTCTGCGGGTCTTAGAGGACTTGCTGACTTATTTTACTTTAAAATGGTCAAGGAAAAAAATTGCATTCTAGTACTCCTCCCTCAACATTTTTCACTGTGTCTTTGGCCAAGGTTAGTGCATCTTCACTTCCAGTTACAAAATGAGAGAAAGATGGCCCTGCTATCTCCTATCCCCTCCTATTCCTAGACTTAAGTGTGTGTCAGAATCACCGGGGGGGTTTGCTGAAACGTAGATTACTGGGACTCAGGCTCAGAGTTCCTGATTCTGTAGATCTGGGGCAGGGCCCAAATGTTCATGTTTTAAACAAATTTCCAGGTGAAGCCCATTTCCCAGGGGACCACATTTTGAGCATTACTGTACTTGAGAAGTGGTATTTTAGAAAACTGGTTCAACGTTATGTTATACTATGCCCATATATTATCAGTGACTTTTTGCTAGAGGATCATTTAGGAGATTGACAATAGTTTGTTCAGTTCATGATTAATCTATTAATTAGTCATTGCGTGTTTGTTGGAGGCCTTTATGTTGAGCCTTCTAATGTTCTTTGGTGCTTACTTAAGTCTGCTCTGTGTTTAGCAGAAGTTCCAAAATTCAGAAGTTCATTTATACTATTTAGAATATTTCATGTATATTTGCCGTATTTCAGGAAACTTAAAACATGAAGAAAACCTAAAAATGCCATCTAATTCAGTCCCTTGCTTTCCGAGCAGAATCAAACTTGAGCCAAACTTGAACGAATGATTGTCCTGTTCTGCCTAACCTGTTCTTAAAGAGACTGGCGCACATCTCATTAAGCTGCCCTAACACCTCTGAGCTACCCTCTGACTTTATACTTATTTATTTTTTGTGTCTACCCATGAGTTTCTTGCAGCTAAACCCATTCTTCTTCTTTGGTACTAAGTGGAAATGGAAAGCTACTTTTCTGGGCATGGTTACAGCTCGTGTTCTAGAAGACTGTCATGAATAACCCTTGAGCCTGCCTTAACCGAGATTCATCCAGTTGCATTTATCTCTTCTCTTTGCCAATAGTTTCCTCTCATAAAACTGCAGTTCTTGGATGAGAGGGACAGAATCTGAAATAATTCTATATTTGAACACAGTCTTTGGAGTCTTTTCCTAGGATTTAGAACTGTTCTCAAAAAGCCTCTGCAAGTAAATATTATCAAAGTTGTGCAAGGATCTTGGTATGTTTTGTTATTGAAATTGTAATTTCTCTAAAATTCTGAAATAAGATCATGAAAAAATCCATTACTAATATAATATAAAATATAATATAATAACCATTACTAATATAATAAATAGATCACAAAACATTTACTAAAGTAACCAAATTATGTCATCTGTATATAAACTTTTTATAAGGGAAAACAGTCAAAATGGCCTTATTTAATGCAGACTGGATGTTTTTAACTTCGTATGATTTGGCACACTCAGTTACTCATGTGCTCATGTTAATGAGCTCAAGGTCATGGGCTGGTCTTTGGACAGGCCACTTAGCTTCGCTTTCTTTCACCCTGACCACTGTCTTGCACTTACTGGCTTTAGGCCCCAGGAAGGAGGTGGGTTCAGAACTGGGGAACCCTGATGGCCATGAGCAGGAATCCAGGGAAGGCAGGACCTGGAAACTAGATGGGTCCAGCTGGGGCTCCAGAAGGTCCCAGCAATGACTATAGGAAAATATCTGAACAGGGAGATGCAATGTTAGGGAAGCCTGTCCAAAGTAAAATAAATGTGAGGAGGAAGTTGGTTTGTGTTGTAAGTATGACAGCCAGGAGAGGAACCCAGGCTGGAAACTAAGGGGCAGGAGCAGGAATCTAGTGTCTGGGAGGAAAAACACCACACAGCTATTTGAATAATGATAATAATACTTAATGAGAACTCTTAATGGGCCAGTAATTATGCTAAGTCGCTCTTCTAGCACTTAGTAGTTCTTACTTTAAATTCATTCATTGAGTTGTGAGGACGTAAAAAAATACTTCTTTTCCTCTCACCTTCTAAGTTCTTCTAGCTGGGCTAATCAAATGAGCAGAAATAGATTAACAGGAGAACATGTACAAAGTTTATTATGGATGTACATGCTGGGGTGTCATGAGATAGGAGACCTGAAATGCAATGGGCAGCTGAGGTTTATAGGCCAGTATGGCGAAAGGCGAAATAAGCAATTGGTAGGTAGCTGGGGAGCAGTGTAACACAGGTGGCGGGCAAGTTCTTGCTGAGCAGCTCAGAAACAATGTAACAATATGGTGGGGGGGCTGAGGGGCTAGGGGACGGGGGTCTAGCTACCAGGCCCCCCCTGGAGCCTTCCTATCTAATATTAAGGTGCATTTGTTAAGGTTCCTCTTCCAAAGCAGACCTTTCCACGTGAATCTCTTAGGCAGGAAAAGGGGAGGGCAGAAGGTTCTTTCTGAATCTTGTTTCTTATTAACCGGTTTAAAATCAATATCCCAAAAGGCACTGTTTTTTTGCAGGGGGGGAACTTTGGTCCCCTTTAGAGTACTCACAAGGACCCCATGATTCGGATACTGTTCTATTCCTGTTTAACGGGTGGGGAAAGGGCATCATGGAGAGAGATTTAAGTAAGTTGCTCAAGGTCACACAGTTTATCGCAGGGCCCCAAGAAGTAGGTACACTGTTATTCTCACTGCTGTTTTAAAAATGAAGAAATGAAAGCTCAAAGACATTAGCTTTTCTAACCAGTGATGAATGGTAAAGCCAGGATTTGAAATGCAGCTGGCGACTCCAGAGCCCATTCTCTCAAAAGGGAGTTTCAAGTGGTTGACTTATTGCCGGCGCTGTGCACGAGCTACTAGGGCAGGGCCTAGTAACTGAAGGGCGGCACAAGGTTTGAACTCAGCAGCGAGAACAGGTCCAACAGGCAAAACATCCAGCAAGGCGGGCTTGGCATGCAGCTCTTTAGCTACTCCCTGAGCGAGAGGATCTGTGCAGAACTGGGGTCTGTCTGCATCTGCCCATAGAGCTTAAATGGATTAAATGGGGAATGAAGGAATTTGAGGGCAAGGTAAAAAGAGAACAGAGAATAAGAATGTAGATGGGATTGTATCTATATTGGAAAAATAAGTAAGAACTCATACTCACTGTAAGAAGATAAACGATAAAACTTGTCATATAAAACACCTGGCAACAATGGCATTGCCTCTTATAATGGCAGGGAAAATACCGTATTGCATATGACTAAATAAAGAGCATGGATATCTAGAAAGTGAATTTTATTAAATTCCTTTAATTTCAGCAATCATTCCGTCCGAGATTCCTTGGGGTGGCCGAACAATTACACAATGAAGGTTTCAAGGTATGTGATATTAATTTTTTGATGAATTGTTTTCTGTCAGTGTTGAACTCTCTCCACAAAAGAGAATGTTGAAAAAAATCTTAGGGAATTAAGTAGATCAAAATATGTCCTAAGTTGATAGTTTCAAGTCTTCAATGAATAAAATAATTAGAAAGACTAGCTTTAAGTTTTAATACAGTTATCACAAACTTAGAAAGTTTAGCTTATACAGAACTGGGACAAAGTTCCAATGCATTTCCATATATTTTCCCTTTTTCCTTTTTCTGTTTCCATATGTAGTCATAGTGTCCAGTTGCTACAGTTATAGGCAAAACTTCTTGTTGTAATAGTGTCAACAATAAAAAGAAAGAAAAAACATATTTGCTATGAATACATTCACACAAAGCCTGGTTTAATGCAACAAAGTAGCTCCTAAGGCTCAGGGTGGGCCTGTGGTGGTCGGCTTTGTTGACCTAATAACAATGAATAATCAGCCATGAATAATTTTTTATTTTTCTGCTCTACAAAAGCAGTTACAATGGAGGTTATGAAATTTTTTACCACTGCAAATAAATTTAAAAATATTTGAAGTGCCCATGACTATGTATACTGAGTCCAAATCTCTGTTCATGGAATCATATTGTTTCTCATATTTTATTGTACTTTGTGTTTTAAATGACATGTAGGCTTCTTTGCTTCATGAGAGCCTTCCCTGTGGTACAGTAACTGACTTTTCCATTTTAAACACAGCTCTTTGCCACGGAAGCCACGTCAGACTGGCTCAATGCCAACAATGTCCCCGCCACCCCTGTGGCATGGCCATCTCAGGAAGGACAGAATCCCAGCCTCTCTTCCATCAGAAAGTAAGAACTGGGCAGAGTTGTCTGTGATAATAAAACAGAGGATTAACCTTGGGAACTAGTGTGATGTGAACACTTTACCCTCTTGCATGACTTCTATAAATCCTCTTGGTCAACCAGTTTAAAATGAGTGAATCTGTGGGTGATAGTAAAGTTTCATTCTCATGAACTTTGCTATCCCTATGAACACATGATGTCATATGTGCACATGGTGACATGCGGCATCTTTCAAAATAGTTGCTAGTAAGGGGGCTTTCCTTGACAGACCCCAAGATCTCAGTGATGAGAGTCATGGTCATGAAGACTGTAATGTAGGACTTTATATTTGACATTAAACTTATATATCTATATCTCTATCTGTCTATCATCTATCTATCATCTATCTATCTATCTATCTATCTATCTATCTATCTATCTATCATCTATCTATCATCTATCTATCTATCTATCATCATCTATCATCTATATCTATCATCTATCTATCTATATCTATGTGCATGTCAAGTACAAGTTTGACCAGCTGTCTTTCACTGACCTTATGCATCAGTGACTCAATTTCTCGAGATCTTGCCACTTGCAGGAGACTATGATGAGAGCTATGATAATGTCAGTCACTGGATCACCTAATTTGCATCCTTTGATCAATTGGTCACTGTGCCTTAGGCTATGTCATCATTAGAGCTGTAAGACATATTATTTCAGCAAGCTATATGACCCCAGGGGACACCATTATGTAAACACAGGACTATGTGGCATAGGTACAGAGGAGATAATTCTCAGTTGCTCCAGGATATTACACCCCATTGAATGACTAAGTCATACCAAATTCTATGCACTAGGCTATTGTTAGAGCTCCTAAGAAGGTAACCTATAAATCAGTATCAAGTTAATAAAAGGAGGGCAAATTTTTCAGACCTTTGTAGACTTCCAGTGATGTTATAAGCCCTCGCTTAGAGCTTTGTAAAACAATAATTAGCATTACTTCATGCCTTTGACATTTAAATGTCTCCTGTGTGTGTAGCTGCCCAGCAAGAGAATGTGAAGTGGTTTAACTCAGAATCAGGTACCTGCATTCTCATACCATCAGCCGAGAGGCACTGGGAAGCCGCAGTGAAGTAAAGTTGATCTGGGAGTGGAAATATGGGGAGGACTGGGCTTCGACGCTGGGCGAATCACCTCCTTGTAAAATAAGTAAATACCTATCAAATTACCAAGGTAGCATTTTCAAGAGAAAACAAACCTTTCCCTTCAATTAGTTAGACTTTCACCAGAGTTCTTTCAAGAGCACAGTAATAAAATTATAACCCCCAAATAGTGTAACGTGAACATTTACTGAGAGGGGGACAGATGGCAGTCAGCTCGGTATGGCATTGACTCCAAATGGCTAGGAGAGTAATTTACGTTAGTATTTTTAAAACTAATTATAAAATACCCATGGTCACCTGCAAGCTTTTGTTTGTTCCGTTGGTTCTCCCAGGCTGATTAGAGACGGCAGCATTGACCTGGTGATTAACCTCCCCAACAACAACACGAAGTTTGTCCACGATAATTATGTGATTCGGAGGACAGCCGTCGACAGCGGAATTGCTCTCCTCACTAACTTCCAGGTACGGTCTTTTTCTCAAATCCAGGCTGCAGGAGAATTTTTGTTTCTGTGCCTCCCTTATGTGGGTTCATCGATCTATGCACACCTCTCCCCTTCCCTTCTTAGAACATTCAGAATGGAGGGGGATTTCTGAATAGAATGTAAAATAATGATGCTGTTATGGCAGGTCATGGCCTAGCTGAGACAGTGGGTGATCAAGCAATTGAGATAATCAAAAGCCACGGACAGCCATGGCTCTCTCATTACCCGTGCAATTATCCTTTAAATAAGAAGTGTGGTGTGGCATGGATTAAGGATACAAGCTCTTATTCCATTGTTTCTAAGTGAAAACCACCACGTAAGAGCAACAGGTTCACGATAACTGAAGACCCAGATACAGTGCAAACAGTTGTTCAGTTCACAGAAAATGATCGCGTGCGGCCTGTTCAGCTCCACTCGGACGTGATCCCCCAGGTTCTTTATCACAGGGGGAAGAGCTATTCTTAGGGACTCATTAACTTCCTGCGCATCCTACTTTTTCCCTGGGTCAGTTTTAATCCCTCTTCAGAGGGCGGGGAATGGGGGGGCGGGGTGGGATAAGCATATTCATGGTGAGGTCTGAGATATAGCAGAAAGTCCCAATTAAATTTAAAAATTTGTTTCTTTCATCCCATGTCCCTTTGAAAACTGGGAGCAGACACTGTGACTTTTCACTCCTGCCTCATTAAACGTTCACTTTCATATCATCTGGGTTGCTGAGATTCCTACCCTTCTGTTTTCAGGTGACCAAACTTTTCGCTGAGGCCGTGCAGAAGTCTCGCACTGTGGACTCCAAGAGTCTTTTCCACTACAGGCAGTCCAGTGCCGGGAAGGGGGCATAGAGAAGTGGAGGCCCGGCTCCCTTCCTGAACCAAGGAACTGATTCCCACCTTCCTTTCCCAGAGATGAACACAGACACCAGACTTTATTTCAGTTTACTCAGTTACGCCTTAATGTTCTTTTCTTTCACCATTAAATTGTCGTCAGTCACTTTTCAAAAACCTTGCATAGAGAGTCCTTCCTAAGTAACCTGTTCTTCGCGAGAATGCATTCCTCTGTTGTGCCTCACTTTGGGTGGGCTAAGCTTCCCCACGCTTCCTCGCAGCTAACATTTGATGGTGCTGATTAAGGGTAATCAAGGTAGGAAACGTTGCTTCTCTGTCTCCTGAACTCTTTCTCTGTGCACTTCACAGACACTACTGTCATTGTTTGAAAATAGCCGCCACACTCAGGACCCTTTCACCAGGCAGAATGCTCTAAAGATTTGATAAAATGAAGCACGGATCTAATTTATGAAGCCCTTCATCATGATGCCTGTTTGCTGTTCCTTTTTAGTAATCCTTGTATCTGGCCCACCCAGGAATATCGTCATCCCTTCCCACAGTGCTGAATTTGAGAAGTGTGACTGAGGTCTTTAAGGAACAGATTTCTTTAAAGGACACTAGTTTGCAGTTTTGGGTTTTGGAGTATGTCAGCAGAGGGTAGATACCGCTGAGGCAGGTTTATTCCTGTTGTTCTTTGGAGTTTTAACCTGAGCCAACTGAAATCTTCAGATTTATGCCACCTCCCTGCCCTCCCCCACTTCCTGCCAATTTTCGATACACTTGGGAGTTACATTCATTCCCTTCAGACTATGGATTCTGATGATCTACTGAGGCCCACGCTGCACTGTGAGTCGCACACATTTTAAGCACAAGGTCCCCTTTCCTCCCGCATACAAGAGAAGCCCTTCCTTCAAGGCAGCCTTTGTATCTTTAAACTTTTTGTGTTATTACAAGTGCTCTAATTGTGAACTTTTAAATAAAATACTGTTAAGAGGCAATGCAGTTGTATTCTCGCATTTATTTACTTATTTTGTGTTGATATATAAAATTAGTTCACCTCTCTGATGAAGCAGGGCTTAGAGCCAGGATCATGTCACTTTGTCTTTTTTCTAGACATATAGGGTATGTCTAGCAAATTAATATTAAAAATAATGAGGCCTAGGCCATTGCATTTTTTTCTTGTTTCCCTCTTGTTTATAAGTCTCATTGAAAATTTTAAAAGAAGGAAATCTTACCCTTTATGACAGCATGGATGGACCTGGAGAGTATTATGCTAAGTGAAATAAGCCAGTCAGAGAAAGACAAGTACCACACGATCTCACTCATATGTGGAATCTAATGAACAAAATAAACTGATGAACAAAATAGGAACAGAGACATGGATACAAGGAACAGACCAACAGAGGTCAGAGAAGATGGGGAGGGGAGGACTGGATGAAAGAAGGTGCAGGGATTAACCAAAGAACATGTATCATAGCCCATAGACACACACAACAGTGTGGTGACTGACAGAGGGTAGGGGGCCTGGGTGGAGGTGGGCAAAGGGGGTAAAAAATGGGGACATCTGTGACAGTGTCAACAATAAAAATAAAGAAAAAAATTATCATGCGCTTATATGCCACCTTTGATCCATCCAGATCCTTTCAAATATAGTTACTGCCACATGCTGACTAAAGGTTGCCACCCATATATAATAAACTTTTAAACAAATATCAAGCATGTTATGGAGAAAAGTAGTTGGACCCAAACAGAGGGTGATCCAGATTGCCTGGTGGAGACTCAATTACGACGGTGATACCATATCCTGGAAATACCGCCTAAAATGTGACTTTGGGAAGGTCCTAAGATAACGATGAAATATTAGACTATAGCCCTTCCCTCTCAGTCTGCAGTCAAGGATTTACCACTTGAGATGGACCCGCACGAAGGCTTCTCAAATTCAGTTCCTTCTCTCCCCCTTGTCACAGTGAGATCTTCATCACTTCTTCCCAGCAACATTATAATAATGTATTCCCTGATCGCCCATCCCCTGACCTGAAAACATTTAATGAATTTCTGCAGTGTTTGGTGTGGGATAGACCACGGTCCCTCCTACTCCTATTATCCTAGGACCTTTCTGACACAGCACTGCTAAAACATTAGGCTCACCTGCCATTCACCAGGCAGGTCTAAGGTAGCATGAATTAGCCGTTTTAATCCTCGAAATGCCCCTCTGAGTAGGTGCTGCCAGATTCCATATTATAAATAAAGGAACTAAGGCGTACATGACCAAGTCACACAAAACACAGTCTCATTTTTTGGTATCTTACATTGTAATGAAGACATACGTAAAAAATCATTTCTCACAGTAAAGAAAGTACTGAACTTGCCTGCAGAGATCAGGGAAGTGCTTATCTGGTGAAAGGGACTCTGTGTTGCCTTGAACAGTGCGCCATAGTTCCTCGGGCAGACTAGCGGACAGGCAAGGGAATTCACATGAGGAAATGAGTAGTTTGGCCGGACTGGATCTCAGGGTATGTGTGGAGAGAAAGGACTTGGGGCAGAAGTTGAGACTGGATTCTTAATTGTGCATATTTGAGCCACATGGAAGTTTTAAGGTGTTTTATTTGAAAATAATTTTGGACTTAAAAAAATGCAAAAATAAAAATAGTACAGCCTTTACCCAGATTTACCTACTGGTAACATTTTACCCTGTTTGACTTTATATTGCTTGCTCTCGCTGTCGTCTATCATCTAACTATCTACACACACACACACACACACACAGTGGAGGGAGAAAACTGCATTTTGACAGAGATAAGCAGGCTGCGGGTGACCAATTGGGAAATCTAACTCATACTTTGAAACAAACAGAATTACTTGCTGAAGGTACCAGAAGGTCGCAGCAACACTTAAGTTTTGTATTGTGGGAATTTAACAGAGGTTCTCAGCTTTCATATTAATTTGAACAGACTACTTGTAAAATAAAATAAAAAAATGAGAACAGCAATAGTTAATCAAGTAATAATAATTAATCAAGCAGCATCATTTCTCAATGAACCCTATATTTTTGTTGGTAAAATAAAGGGTCTTTGGAAAACCAGGCAAGACATACTCTCCATGGTGCTGAAAATTGAACTATGTTAAGTTTTGGTTTTGTTATCTCCCTCTTTTCTAATGTTCAAAATTTGCAAACGTCAATGAACAAGTAGCTAATGCGCCCAAGAGCTTGGGTTGGGTGAGGGAAAGGCAAGAAAACGGAAGCCACTTGTGTCCCCATTTGGCCGGGCTTTGTCCTTTTGGAACATTTTTTCATATAAACAGGTTAACACATTTTTAAATGCCTGAATCTGTGATCTATCACAAGTGCAGACAACATAAGGTCTATGTCTGTAGCGCTGAGCAGAAAATCGAAGTCGCCTTTTCCACGCTGAGAGTTTAATAGCAGGCGGGGAGGGCCGGCCCTGGGCGCGCCAGGAGGCGCCGGCCTGTGAAACGGAATCGAGAATGACCCACGTATGGATTTAGGGTTTTATGGCTTTGGGAAGGCAAGCAGACTATTTTAACTGCACTTCTGTCAGACTTTCCTCTTAAACAGCATTCCCACTGGAAACTTTAAAAAACAGCACAACTGGAAACTTGAAAAACAGCTACAGCATTCACTTCACTCAACAGCTGCAGGTATTGGAGCCCCAGCTTCTGCGGGGGCCGCGGCCTCTTGAGCGACGACGGAGAAAGTGATCAGAGGAGCAGAGCGTGCTGACTGCGGCGAAGGGCTCTGTAATCACACCCCGGGATTGCCATTTGGCTGCCGGCGCGGCCCCCGCAGGCACAGGTGCCCTCAACGCTCCCGCGCCCAATCAAACCCGCAAAGGCCTTTCATGCCATGGCCCGCACCCAATCAAACCCGCAAAGGCCTTTCGTGGCTTTTCTTGGAAAAGACTAGTGCAACTTCATTCCTTCCCTTCTTTGGCTCACTGTTCCTTCCCCCTTGTTCTGATACATAAACATTCTCTTTTTAGCGAAGGTCCCCGTGCGAGTTTATGAGGAGCTGTTGCAATCGGTGAGCGTGAGGCCGTGTGGCAGGAGGGAGGATGTTTGCACTCCTGCCGAGTGGCTCCCCGGGCTCTGTGAAAAATTGGTAATAATTGTCCCTCCTTCTCTTGTGCAAAACGTAGGGAGCAAGGGTTCCAGAGAGAGAGTTTAAGTACCTGCAGCTGTTGAGATCAATGCAGCAAAGGGGCGCAAAACAATCCTCAGCAAGTCAAAATCAGCACCGTCCGCGCCCGCTTCTTGCTGCTCAAAGATCATCTTGTGTCTTTACAACCCTCATTTTATAAAGGACTTGTATCCACAAGAAAACTATTGATTGTTGACCAAAACAAAAAATAAGCTTGTCTGGTAGCAAAGGTGCACTTTTTCTCTCCTGAACCGCCAGCCTAGCTAATTATTTCTTGAAGGCGTGCCCTGAAAGAAACACTGACTACAGAGGAGCGCCTTCGTCCATCACGGTCAGAGATGCTTGTGTCCCCAAATCACAGCTTCCCACGTAAGGCTTAGAGCCGTTGGCAGCCGTGACGGGGACAGGCAAAGCAGCAGCATGGAGAGAGGAGAGGATTCAAACGCTCAAAATGGGTTATTAAAGGAGAGAAAGAACTTGAAACATGAATGTATTTTATCAGTAAAGATACATTTGAATATCCAGTGTCTAAATGACCATATAGTTTTTTCTAAAATTTAAGGGCATTGAGGAATCTCTTTTGTGGTCTCTCTTCTACCTGCTCTTGGGAGGCCCCGAGAGATGAAACATGGTAGGATTCTGAGGTCTTTAGCATAATAGGAATATTCTGCTAAATGTTTTCTATAACTCTTTACAAATTTTCACACAGAATGCTGCAAATGAAATTTATATGGAATAATTTAATTTGACTGTAACATTTATTTTAATCTCTGCATTCAAGAGGATTTGCATAGAAATTCTTTTTTAAAAAATGTTTCCTAATTAAATTGAACACATAATGTCATATCATTTGCCAGGTTTGATATACTTCTACTCTCGTAATTAAAATATATAGGGAGCTGCAGGGGAAAAATGGGGTGGTTGCAGTTAAAATGTAACAGTTTTTAGAGATTTTTAAAACCAGGAGGCATAAGTATTTAATGTAAATTAGGCTCATACTCTATTCATTGTATCAGAATAAGATGAAGCATAACTGACTTGACTTTTCCAACACTGAGAAGCTCTAGAGCAAAAAAACCACCTTGTGCAAAAAATCACCTTGTGCTAAATCTATCATTACCTGCCGTGTGGTACTGCGGGAAGTCCTGTGTGCCTCAGAAGCAACTCACTAACTCCAGTGCCTGGTTGTGTTAAAGTCTGTGGATGTGTGGGGCCCAGGGACTTCTGGATGCAGCAGATGGCACTTTGTAGACTGACTCCTCAGGGAATGGGCCCTGCCTTAGTCTGTCTGCGAGTTGCTATGCTAGTCTCTCTGGAAGACGGGCTCACAGTGATATTCTCAAAAGCACCTGAAACAGCAGGTTCTTGGGTTACTGTACCCACACTAACCACGTCCATATGATGAAGCTGGTTTTAACCCATGATGGTTTTTATTGACCCATTGATAAATAATTCCAGATTATGCAGCATCTCTTTTTCTCAGTCTGAAACTTAGAGCCGATAGCCAATCATGAGTCACTGGTCCTTGCACAGGTATGTGGAAGGTGCAGCCAGATCTCCTTAATGGATTTTTGTATTCCGGGAACATAATTATGGTAGACATTCAAATCTAATGGAGCCACAAAATGTTGACTCTAAAAACTGATTGTGGGGAGAAGCGCTTCATCGGAATGATTATTTTCCTGTCCTTTTTAGTTGCAAGCTTCTATCTCCTCTCTTGATCACAGGGATCTCGGCCCAGTTTACACCCGGCCTCCAGGTGTAACTTTGTGCACTCAGGAGGCTGGAGCAATTTGTAGAGGAAACACTGACAAACCCTAACTTTCCCAAATCTTAAAT